AATCATATGCAAATGGCAAGTGGATGGGTAGCTTCTATCAGTCCCATCTCGAGCAAAGTGGTAAGAATGAGAGTGATCCACCATTGATCCTGTGCTAGATGCCAAGCAATGGGACTTCAAGCAATGATGAGGGCATATCGAAGCATGCCTTTTCAATGCTTGCAGCAGGGCTTGCAAACTCAAATGTCCAAAGGGACAAACATAAGTGAGAGACGTAGCCCAGGGAGAGACTGTGGCAAACAGGAGAATGCGGCTGTGTTTCGAGGGTGCAGGCTCCTCTCGCCCCAGCCAGCTATTGCCAAGTGAGGCTTCTAGTCTGTTGCTGCTAGACCTTTCAACTTCTCAGTACTACTGAGAAATCTGGATCTGTATAGAAAATCTGAGTTTTAGCAATGGCTAATAATTCTAAATTTTAAAAAAACCATGGTCCAAATAAAACACATCCTTTGTCATGATCTGGTCTGATTTTGCCAGTTTTCAATTTCTGGTTTAGATTTTCACACAGACCTAAGGGGTAAAACCAATCTGGGTTTGAATTCTCGTTCCATCACATGTTTTCTGGGTGACCTTGGGCAGGTTGTTGACTTCATCTCTGAGATTTAATTTCTTTATCTGTAAAATGGAACCTCACTCTAAACCTTCTGACTCAAAGCTCAGGTAAGTTCAACAAGAGCGGGGACTTGGTCTGTTTTATGTGTTGCACTATCCTTCACACCTACAACAGTGTCTTGGACACAGCAGAGGCTCAATGATATTACTAGAAAGACTAAATGTTATGTTATCTTGTCTTTAGTGTGACGGCTGTGACAAGCAGAACCCCAGGTAGTGTCAAAATAGGATATGAACAAAACAGCCCATTATCAGTTAGGATTCATTCCCTTGCCAATGATAGAAACCCAACTCAAAACAAAAAAAAGGACATTCACTGGCTCAGATAAGGCTCCAGACTTCAGGTATGGCTGAATCCAGGGGTCAAAATTGTCTTTCCCATCTTTTGCCTCTGTATTGGCTTTAGTCTCAGACAGGATCGCAGTAACATGACTGCTGGCAGACTGATTCTAGATTTTCCCAGGTATAAATTCCTGCCCTTTCCCATAACAGTCCCAGTTAAATTCTCATTGGCTGTTATTGGGTTACATGTGCATCCCTCACCCAATCCCTGTGGCTGGAAGAATGAGATGCTCTGATTGGCTGGGCCTGAGTCACACCCATACCTGATTCAATCGGTCCCTCCAAACCATGCAAATTTAGCACCCAGGAGGGAGTGACTCCCTAAAGGAAGAAGAGAGAATAAATGCTAGTGACAAAAACAGTGTCTGCTCTGGAGCCCACATCTGTATACTTCAGGTCTATAAACAACCCCACGTTACCTTGCCTTTAGAGAGGTCTTGTATTTCTCCCTTCCTAGAGGTGGAGATAGCTGCAGAGGGATAGGTACCAGCACACACATCCCACCATGCAGCAAGCTCAGGGCTGCTTTGGCTCAAGGCTAATGAGGCATAGGGTATTTGCAAATCCTCTCCAGAGAGGTTGCAAAACACAGGAGAAATTTAATAGCATCATCAAGTAATCACACCACACACTGGACTTTTTTAAACTCACTCCTTCTTTCCTTTGATCCTGTTCTGATGGATAATGCCCATGGTATTTGCTGCGACCTAAATCCCTCACAAGACTGCTGGAGAGGAAAACTGCACCATAAGAGAACAGCGGTCCTGAATATCAAATGTAAGGGGCCAATTATTCCTCTTCCTTGAGACCCCATTCACCCGGCTTGCATATTCATGGGCTCTCAAATGCAGATGAGATGGCAGCTGCTGATTAAAGTCAGCTCACTTTGTTGTGGGGAGATCTGGGGACTCCCGGGAGACCTCTTGAAGCTGATCAGTGGTGAAATGTCCTCTTCAGGGGTTGTTCTGTTCCCTGCCAGTGTGGTCCTGTGGAATAATAAAAAATCTGGATCTTTCAGCTTGGAGAAGCAGATGCTTGCGCTCTGGCTGGGTTGTGTGGGATTTGAAAGTCTGGATATAGATTGAGTAGGGCACAGTCACATTTTATCTACTGCAGAACTGTCCTAAATTAGATCTTTCCCCTTTTCAAAGACATGGGAATGGGAATGGAATAGATATGGGGGTCTGTGGCAATTTGACTTGGAAGGTTGCTGGAGCCATGGTGTTTATTCTCTGGGATGGTCTAGGGCAGTGTTTCTCTAATTTTAATATACACACACCCCACCTGAATGTCTTGTTAAGGCACAGATGAGGTTTTAGCAGGCTGGGGTGGGGACTGAGATTTTGCATTTCTTACATGCTCCCAGGTGGTGCCAATACTGATGATGTACAGGCCACTTTTTTTTTTTTTTTTTTTTTTTTTTTTTGAGATGGAGTTTCGCTCTGTCCCTCAGGCTGGAGTGCAGTGGCCGGATCTCAGCTCACTGCAAGCTCTGCCTCCCGGGTTCACGCCATTCTCCTGCCTCAGCCTCCCGAGTAGCTGGGACTACAGGCGCCTGCCACCACGCCCGGCTAGTTTTTTGTATTTTTTAGTAGAGACAGGGTTTCACCGGGTTAGCCAGGATGGTCTCGATCTCCTGACCTCGTGATCCGTCCATCTCAGCCTCCCAAAGTGCTGGGATTACAGGCTTGAGCCACTGCGCCCGGCAATACAGGCCACTCTTTAAGTACAAGGGTGTAGAGCAATGGTTTCCAAGCTTGGATGTATATTATAATCACTTGGAAAGTTTTTTAAACATCAGAATGCCCAAACTACACTAAGATTAGTTAACTTAGAATCTCTGGGTGGCACCCAGGAATCAGTTTTTGTTTGTTTGTTTGGTTGTTTTTTCTTTTTTTTGAAACAGAGTCTTGCTCTGTCACCCAGGCTGGAGTACAATGGCACAATCTCAGCTTACTGCAACCTCTGCCTCCTGGGTTCAAGTGATTCTCCTGTCTCAGCCTCCTGAGTAGCTGGGATTACAAGCACCCACCACCATGCCAGGGTAACTTTTGTGTTTTTAATAGAGTCAGGGTTTCGCTGTGTTGGTCAGGCTGGTCTCAAACTCCTGACCTCAAGTGATCCACCCACCTCGGCCTCCCAAAGTGCTGGGATTACAGGCATGAGCCACCGTGTCCAGCCTACAATCCATTTTTAAATATCCAGTGCCCTTGCACATAGTATCATGATTGTTGAATGAATAAGTAAATGAAACTGAGTCATTGCAACCCCAGCATTTAACCATGCAACTGACCAATAGGAGTCATTTAACAAGAGTTCCTAAAATAAATGAATGAAGGAGTAAATGCCAAACAAAACATTAAAAAAGTAGTTATTCATGGCTGGGATATGTCAAGAGGCTACTCTAGAATATAATTCACTTTCCCCCTTGCAAGCAGCCATGCCCAATTACCTACAAATACTTCCCAAAGTGAAGGTTAACATCGTACTCACTCTTGGTAAGGTATCAGGAAATTAATTGCTCTGTTTCTCAAGACCTTTTCTGTGCAATAATAATTAAAAAAAAAAAAATCTCCATCCACCATAACAATGATCTATTATTACTAATGATAACAGGTGTCTTAAATGCCTTTTCTCATTGAGACATGAATGGTTCATTATCATAACAGGCTAGTATCAATATCCAATTTTTAGTGGGATGTTGAGATCAAACATAATGTGGAGGATAGCGGGGGCGCACAAACGGAACAGGGGCTTCCCGGATGCTACTCATTAGAAGAAATTTGCCAGAGGGGCAGAGGTTGACAAGCGTTAAATAAGAAGTAGAGAGCTTCTTGGAGATGCAGAATATTGCGTGACTGAAAGAAGTATAAAATATCAGTGTAGAGGACATAAAAATCTCTTTTTCCAAAACCTTTTTCATGGAGTGAAATGAGCTCAATCAAGCCATTGTATCTGAACTCGGTTTCTGTATCTGTTGAGAATCAAAGAAAGCCTAAATTTATTAGGCGACAGAAGTCCTTTTGTATAAAAGATATAGAGTTGTCATGGGGAAGTCACCGAAAAAATGGAAAAAATGGGTTAGTGTCGTGTCTGGCATGTGCCTGGAGGTCAAGATGATTCAATTCTCCTATTTCTCCCTTAAAGATCTCTTTAGCTCCCAATTTCTGTGAACTTGTGATAATAAAGGTGGATCAGGTATAATGGGTATCTAAGTACTGCATAAGTTAGAACTCTGTACTCTTTTCCCTACACTTCCTGTTGCAATGCATACTGGGAGTTATAACTTATGAGCGGATGCAAGAGCAACTTCAAAACGTGGCTGGGATGACTCAAGACAGAGTCTTAGCCGGGCGCGGTGGTTCACGCCTGGAATCCCAGCACTTTGGGAGGTCGAGGCGGGCGGATCACTTGAGGTCAGGAGTTCGAGACCAGCCTGGCCAACATGGTGAACCCCATCTCTACTAAAAATACAAAACTTAGCCTGGCGTGGTGGCAGATGCCTGTAATTTCAGCTACTCGGGAGGCTGAGGCAGGAGAATCGCTTGAACCTGGGAGATGGAGGTTGCAGTGGGCCGAGACCATGCCACTGCACTCCAGCCTGAGCAACAAGAGTGTAACTCCATCTCAAAATAAATAAATAAATAAATAAGACAAAGGCCCCATATGTTCAGGGAATGAGCACATTTATTTTGGGGCATTGCAGACTCGGCATCTTAGTTTTAGCTGGAAATGGTGAGATGGGATCAATATTTCCTCTAATTTTGTTTCTCGGGGATGCCATATTATAGTTCAGAAGATGCAGTATGTAGCATCCATCCTACTAACAATACAGCTAGTAAAATGTTCCACTGAACTTTGTGATTTCCACCACATGCAAGGAACTGTTGTGCTATGAAAACTGTTCTGCTACCCTAACGCTTTTCCGCTCTTAGCTTCCATGACCTGATGCATTTGAGGAATATCACATACTCACTCTCTCTCCTAAGAATTTCACAACAGAAATTGACATATTAATGCAATGAGGGTCCTACAGCAGAGAAACACGATTAACACGCAAGTCCTTTAATATGAAAGAATGCTTTACAGTCCACCAAACGAGTGTTCTGCGGAGCATGTTTTAAGAAACATTGGTTTACAGCTTTATTTTTATTTTTATTTTTTGGTTTCCCTATCAAGTTTTCAGTTCTTGTGCATTTCTATGAGTATATTAATAAGAAACAGAGCTGCAGAGGGCAATTTGTTTTAAGTCCATCCAACAGTCTGGTGGATTTAGCCTTTCTTCTCCGTAGCAGGTGAGTCTGGCAGGTTTCCAATCATAGAATCCTTCTTCTGCCTCCATCGTCAGGTTGCTAGATAAAAAAGATAAGACACCCAGTTGAAATGGAATTTCATATAAGGAATGAATCTTTTTTTTTTTGAGATAGAGTCTTACTCTGTCACCCAGGCTGGAATGCAGTGGCACAATCTTGGCTCACTGTAACCTCAGCCTCCCGGGTTCAAGAGATTCTCCAGCCTCAGCTTCCCGAGTAGCTGGGACTATAGGTGCCTGCCACCACGACCATCTAATTTTTGTATTTTTAATAGAGATGGGGTTTCACTGTGTTGGCCAGGTTGGTCTCAGACTGTTGGCCTCAGGTGATCTGCCTGCCTCAGCCTCCCAAAGTGCTGGGATTTATAGGCGTGAGCCACCGTGCCCAGCCAGGAATGAATCATTTTTAGTCCATACTTATACTGCATTTTTGTTTACTAAATCAGGCCACCCTATCATTAGGGTGGATATGCATTCCAAGGCTCGCCAGTCATAGAACCCAATTTCTCTGATTTATAATACCTGTTTCAGGGGTTTCTGCCCTAACCAAGCTAGGTTAATCGGACAATTCTTGATTAGGTGCTAGAAGGAAAAAGGATTTACTTTTCATGTCACAAAGCTGTAAGACTGTTAGTTAGTGACTGAGGACAACCACCTTCCCCTCAATGTGGAGAAAAGTTGTCTCTGGAAGGTGAGGACGAGGCCATCACCTACAGAGAAGCAAACCAGGAGTTAAAAAGAGACAGACCTCTCACAGTCTCAGTGATGTCCCTGGATCCACTCCTGCCGAAAACTAGTCCTATCTTTAATTTGCCAGCTATACCAGCCAATACAGCTGTCTTTTCCTTTTTTTTTTTTTTTCTTAAGCTAATTTGAATTGCAACCAATATGGAAACATTATCTGGCACCTCTTTTCTGCTGTCACATTCCTACACACAATTTAACACTTATTTACCATCTACTCTATTCCAGGGCTTGTGCAAGCAATTCCCCTAGTCCATCACCTGGCACGTACGGCCACTCACGTCACTACCTTGACCTGCATGGCACCGCAGACTCATGGAGCCAGCACTTCCTCTAGGGACTGTTCCAGCCTCAGCTCCCCACATCTCACCATTCTGAAGTCTGGATCTGAGCAGAGTCCTGAAGGATCAGCACGCTTTGGCACAAACCCCAAGTAAAAGTAGAGGAAGTGATTTTGCTGTCAACCCTCTCCCTCCTGATAGCTATCAAAGGAACATGGAGAGGTTCCTGCCCACAGTTTCTTTCTCACTTAGAATGCTTCACAGTGGAGTAGCTCTCTGACAGCAGCACGAGAATGCAGTTATGGGAGTCTCTCTGGGGTATTGTAATGGATGTGGGGCCAAGTCTTCCTAGTTGGAGATGCTGCAAGTTATGTAAGAAATGCAGAGTGCCTTGTGGGAGGAGGCTACTGATTCTCTCAAAGACAGTCACTGGAAAAACCAAACGCTTCTAATATTCTGGGACTAATAACCGTCGAAGGGTTCATTGAGTGCACATTTCTGTCCCTAGTGTACATGTGATATTCAAAAAGGTGTTAAAGCCAGGCGTGGCGGTCCATGCTTTTAATCCCAGCACTTTGGAGGCTGACTGAGACGGGTGGATCACCTGAGGTCAGGAGTTTGAGACCAACCTGGCCAACATGGTGAAAACCCACCTCTACCAAAAATACGAAAATCAGCCAGGCGTGGTGTTGGGCGCCTGTAATCCCAGCTACTTGGGAGGCTGAGGCAGGAGAGTTGCTTGAACCCTGGAGGTTAAGCTTGCAGTGAGCCAAGATTGTGCCACTGCACTCCAACCTGGGCAACAGAGAGAGATGCTGTCTCAGAAAAAAAAAAAAAAGTTGTTAAGAATAAATAACACGGAAGCAATGTTTTTGTTCTGGGACTGACATGGCACTGACATAGCCTCTTCTCTCTTTTCTTTTTTGCCTTTTTTTTTCTAATATAGTGCATTTGAACAGATCTCTTTTTTCATGTATCTTATGAACCAACTGTTGTGAATTACCTGTGAGCTACTTTTTCAGATCAGGATTAGAAGTTTTTCACCTCTGTATCCCTAGAACCTACCATGGAACCTGGAGCAATAGTATCTGTAGAGCAATAAATTCTTTAAAACAGTTAACAATTTCTCAAATCTCTGTTCCTGTGTTGGAAGTCCGTTGGAGGTGTCTGACCTCATACGTGTATATAGTGTGGAAAACTATTGTTTCTTGGTATTCATTCCCCTCTCCCTTCTTTCTACCATCCCTGAATTTTTATAGAAGATTCTTTAGGTGCTGATACCAATATTTAGCAGCATGATTAGAACATGTGATCCTGCTCAGCCAATCAGCAGCTGCCACCCTCCTGGCTATGGTGATTTGTTCAGGGGTGACCACATGACTTATGCCAGCCCAATTACAGTGAATCTCAGGTGAGAATCTCCAGGTGGGAATTCTGGACCATAGAAGCTCTTTTCTTCTGCATGCTGTGTTGGATAGATACTAAACCTTAGACTCCTGTACACAGTTTGCTAGTGAGAGAAGCTATCCCGAGGACACAGCTAAGAGATTTACAGAAAAACAGAGCTGCAAAACTGCTACCCCAATGCTATTTTCAATCACTGGAGCAAATCACATCTGAAATTCTCCCTAATTCTGGACTTCTCTGTTGCACAAGTCAATGAATTCTCTCTCTTGTTTATTTTAAAGCAAGTCTGTTTATCTTTTCATTACTTGGAACATGAAATCTTGACTGACGCACAGAGCTCCTCTTTCTTCCCCATTAACTTTTTCCTGAGAGAGCTACTGCTGAAAATCAAGTCAGTCTTTCCAACTGATGTGATTGACTTTCGCTGACGGTGCAGTCTGCCTTTTCATCTTCTAGGCATATCCCCTACCTTTTCTGTAATCCATCCTGTCAGCATTTATTGAACACCCACTCTGTTCTAAGCCCTGAGTCAGATGCTCTGAGACATCCCAATAATAACAAAGATCATGTCTGTAAGGTGCTGGAAATATAGTACAATGGAATGAGCTCTGAGCCATAGCTTAAGAAGTCCACGCTCAGCTGGATGTGGTGGCTCATGCCTGTAATCCCAACATTTTGGGAGGCCGAGATGGGAGGCTTGCTTGAGACGAAGAGTTTAAAACCAGCCTGAGAAACACAGAGAGACCCTGATTCTAGAAAAAAAAATATATAAAATTAGCCAGGCATGGTGTCACATGCCTATAATCCTAGCTACTTGGGAGACTGAGGTGGGAGGATGACCTGAGCCCAGGAGTTTGAGGCTGCAATGAGCTATGATTATGCCACCGCACTCCATTCTGGGTATTCTGGGTGACAAAGTGAGAATGTTTCTGGAGAAAAAAAACAAAACTAAAAACAGAAAAAGTAAAAAAAAAAATTCATGCTTGCTTTGACCCCAGTTTGCTGTGTGATCTTGGGCTGATCACTACCCCTCTCTGGGCTTTAGTTTCACGTCTACAAAATGAGGGCAGTGGTTGACAGTTCTCTAGAATCCTTTCTAGCACTCACATCCCACATCTCTGTGTGCTAATAATTTAAATAAACTCGATACTGTGTCTGGTCAAAATAGATATTTTCAGGCTTATTTATGTCCCCAATATTGGTTAAGAGTTTACTATATTCTAGGAGCTAGAGAGAAAGTGGTGAACAAAACAGAACAACACCTACTTTCTTGGAGCTTACATTGTGGTGGGAAAGGCAGATAATAATCATCTTTGTAAACTATACAATCGGTCTTCATTATTCCCAGACTCTGTATTTGTGAATTTGCTTACTTGCTAAAATTTATTTGTAACCTCTGAATCAATACTCACGGCACTTTCACGGTCACTCATAGACATGTACAGAGCCCTGAAAAATTTTAATCAGATGATGAAAACATTTCTAGCTTAGGGAAAACAGGGCAACACTCTGCCGTATTGTTTCAGCTCTCATGTGATAAACAAATACCTTTTTTTGCAGTCTATTTAGTGCCATATTTGTCATATTTGTGTGCTTTTTCTTGGTGACTTTGCTGTTTAAAATTGTTCCCCAAGTAAGCTGTGAAAGTGCTACCTCGTGTTCCAAAGGCTGTGACATGCCTGGAGAAGGACATACGTGTGTTGGATAAGTGTTGCTCAGGAATGTGTTATTGTACTTGTGACTGTGAGCTCAGTGTTACTGAATCAACATATGTTACATAAGATGCCCTTAAACACAAATACACAAAAAACAAGGTGATGCATTGATTGATTGATGAAAATGTTGTGGTCAGAGGCTCGCAGGAACCCAACCGTGTATTTCTCTTAGGAGCCATGGCTCAGAATTGACTACTTGGGAGTTGGTGGTGACTTTACTGAAAATAACAAGAAGTGACTATGTACAATGTCACTTTCTTGTTATTGATAAGTAAGCCTGAAACTATCTATGTTTACCAGACACAGCATCAAGCTTACCTACATTATTTGCACACAGAGACGTGGGATGCGAATGCTAGAAAGGATTTTGGAGAATTGTCAACCACTGCCCTGATTTTGTGGATGGGAAGCTAAAACCCAGAGAGAGATAGTGATTAGCCCAAGATCACACAGCAAACTGGGGGCAAAGCAAGCATGGATATGGTAAGAGTTGTAGAAAAATGCAAAGCAGGGAAGCAGAAAAGGAAGTTTATATTTTATTATTTTCAACTTTTAGTTTAATTTTATTTTGCTTTTGAGACAGTCTCACTCTGTCGCTCAGGCCAGAGTGCAGTGGCACAGTTATAGCTCACTGCAACCTTCAATTACTAACATCAGGTGATCGGAAGCCTGTAGTTTAAAAGGATGTCAGAAAAGTGTGTCCATGCAGAGGAGAGGACAAAAATGAAAACCCTGTGGTGGGAGCGTGCTTTTCATGTTTGAGGAGCTGCCTGAGGCTGTGGTGGCTGGAGAGGAGTGAGCCACGGGGACGGTGGGAGAAGATGAGATTGATGAGATGGTGAATCTTGAATGACAGACCTGCACAGTCACATTCATCTCCTTCCTGGGTAGAG